CAGGAAGTAGAATAGAACTATACTTTGCTGAGAAGTCTGTTGGGTTTTTCCCATCCCTCCCTTTTACTTATACCCTAGGGAAATTATAGAGAAGCCAGATTGAATGTTTTTCTAGCACTTTCCTTTCTTCCCAATGTTGCTTTGGTACTTGTTGCTGTCATGTTGTCTTCTGGATGCAGAATTACAGAGTAACAGAGTTGGAAGGAACCTTGGAGGTCTTCTAGTCCAACCCCCTGCTTAGGCAGCAGATCCTATACCATTCCAGACAAGTGTTTGTCCAGTCTCTTCTTAAAAATCTCCAGTATTGGAGCACCCACAACTTCTGAAGGCAAACCGTTCCACTGATTAATTGTTCATCCACTGAATCCAAACTCTACTAAATTGAGTTTCTGCTGTGTAGCTAAACCACTATACAACATTAACTGTATATCATTATACCTTCCTATTATTGCAGACCATTCTTCTTTTCACTTATTCATATGTTGCTTTTGATCTTTAAACTCCTCACCTTTTATTTTCAGGATCTCATCCATGCCATCTAACTATGTTTTGGGAAGGCCTCTTCTTCCTCTTAGCCCATTCATTCTTCATATATTTGTTTTATAAGTTGATTCATTCACTCTCTTTGTGTGATCAAATCATTTCAACGTACAGTACTAGTTTTCATACCGATCACTAACTTTTACTTAATACATATTATTTCACACCTAATCATTCTTGCATCTGTCTCTTCTTATTTAAGTGCACGTATTTCGTATGTATCCAATAGTGTCTCTTTAAAGAAACAATACAAAAAAGTTCTTACCTTCATACATTTCTCTTTCTCTTTTTGCTGAACAGCAAAAACCACATGTACCAGATTTGCTCACTGTTATTTCTTGTTCCCTTTCTTTCAGGATTCTGTCAAACATCTTTTCCGAAACATTTAATAAACTAATCAATTCCCCTGCAGTTTTGACATTCACTCTTAATAGATAATAATGGCATTCTTTCAATCATTAGCCATTCTTTCAATCATGGATGCATTCTTTAGATCATGTCAGACAATCATTCCGTAAAGGCAATTACTTTTATATTTTAAATTTTTCCAGTGTTACCATGAGCACCTGCAGCCTTACCACTTTTTCAACTTTCTTACAAACATTTTTGATTTCATTATTATTTTTTAATTAGATACTAACATTCAAACTTTGATCACACGAGCTTAGGGATGCTGCAACAGTCAAAGGTGTGAAAAATGGTCCTAACATAAGTCACTTCCTTCAGTGCTGTTGTAACTTCAGACTGTCACTAAACAAATGGTTGTAAGTCAAGGACTACCTGTATGGTAAAAAATAATCCAGTACTTGGATTCAGTGACCAGTTGAAGAACACTTGTCTTTTTTATTTCCAGGTCCATCCAAAGCCAAGATAGTAGACAATGGTTAAATTTATGCTCATAGAGAAACAAGGGACTTAGCAAGAAGTCAGATAAGGATCAGTGCTGCAATAATTTTGGGTGAATGCTCTTGAAATTAGAATAATTCATGGATTTATAAATATAGCTGTTTGAAGTTTGTAATCAATATAATGTATTCAGCTGGTATAGACTGTCTCTATATTGAATACTGGGGAGTTAAGCCCAGATAAGTTCTCTTGTATCTGCTGGAAATGGAATCTATAAATGCTGAAAACCAGGCATATGTCCCCCAGTGGACGTTAAGCTCCTATTTGCAAGGGAGCTATTAAATAGTCGTTAAAGCAGCTTTCTTCCCAATACCTGTTAAATTCTGTCTGGCAGCAATTACCCACAAAGAATTAGTGGGTGCTGGCCTCACCTACTTCAGGCTTACTTCATTCTGCCTTTTCAGTACTCAGGTTCAGTGGGTTCTTGTCTTGAGGCCTCAACACTTTCTTTCAAAAACCGAAGGGACAAAAGAGACAATCACACTGAGAACAAAAGACAAGCTCTTCTTACATTCTGCTGGCTTTGACCTGAAAAACATAACTTTATGATGTGGAAGGAGTTGGCTTGTATAGTTTACTTAGCATTGCTAGAAGTTGAGCAATGTTGGGTGTTCCGCGTTTGAAAAAGGAAAGTGGGGAACTTTGCAGTGTTTGTGTCCGGGCAGAGACAGGTAATCTTTACGACCACAACTGAGCCCAACATTTCTGTTGCTCTAGCAAGACAGTTGTTAAGTGTGTTTTGCCTCTTTTTATGACCTTTCTTGCTTCAGTTGTTGTTAACCACTGCAGTTGTTAAATTAGCAACACACTTATTAAGTGAATCTGGCTTCCCCATTGACTTGGCTTGTCAGAAGGCTGTAAAAGGGGATCGCATGACCCCAGGAGACCGCAACCGTCATAAATATGAATCAGCTGCCAAGTGTCTGAATTTTGATCACATGACCATGGGTGTTGTGAATCAATAAAAGTGAATAACCTAAATGCAAATTAGGGGTTGAGGACCTGCACACTTGATTGGTCCTTGTACAACAACTCAGGATTGGGCCAGAACTAGACCCTGATTGGCCACGTTTGGAACACTTCTTATTGGTTAGTAGTTTGAACCTGTTGCAAAGTTCATTGGTTGATAGGGTAGCAGCTAACCCTATAAAAGGGTTACTGCTGTCCATAGCCTTGCTCTGTTATGTTCTATTACTTTTATTAAAGAGTTGAAGTCACTGGTCAGATGTCTGGTCTCCATTATTCTCCATACTTAACAATGGGGATGCTGCAACAATCATAAGTGTAAAAATAGTCGTAAGTCACTTTTTTCAATACTGTTACAATGTTTGAATGGTCACTAAATGAATTATTATAAGTCAAGGACTACCTCTATTCTCTTGTACGCTATGGTTTCTGAGAGAACAGCTTCTTCTCGAAAGTTGCTCTCTTAAGGGATCAGAACTTGCTTAGTCAAGAACTTTTTATATTTACCGTTGTTTTTTTTCTTCCACGGGGCTCTCTTGTGAGCATGAATAAATCAAACAGATGCTGGCAAAATTGTAAATCTGTGTGGTTCAAGGGATATTCGTGAAAGAGGCTGACATAAATTAAGCATTCAGGTTTTGTGTTGGTTCTAAAGAAAGAAATTTCTGTTTTATAAGAAAAGGCTGCCCCTAAAGATAAATTAAAGTCTTTCTCTAACACTTTCAGTTCTGTTGGTTTCCATAGCATTATCCGATATCTATCTGTCTTTGTATATTTATTTACATAGATCTGTCTCCTTCGAGAGCTCATGGCAGCCCAAATAGCATTTTTTCCTCTCCATCTTTCTCAGGACCTCAACTCTGTGAGGGAGGTGGGCTGGGCATCTGTCTAAAATTAATCAATGAACTTCCATGACTGAGAGCAGAACAGAACCTGGAACTTTTGGGTACCAGTCCACTCCCTGAACACTGCATCTTATGCTGATGAAGAGAGCAATTGGGGAATATTGGGGCACTTCTGGGAAAGTTATTTTTCCAGCAACTCAAAAGCGTGAAGGCAATTAGGTTGTTGTGATAGAAATGTAATGAAAATATGGACTTGGTATATCTGATTCTCATAGTATGATGGGTGGATCTTGAGCTTTTCTATCATGATTTGCGCAATGCCAAATACAATGGTTTTTTGGGGTTTATTTGTTCCTTTTCTTATTGGTTCATTATATTTTTACAAAACACTAGCTTGATACCTGTGCTTCGTTACAAAACTATGTGGTGGGGCTTAGTTTTTGGGGTGGAAAATAAGGGGAAAAATTCTGCCTCTGCCTACCAGCATCCATCAGTATTCATCTGGCTAGCGTCCTGTCAGTGTGTGAGAGAGTTGAGGGTTGTTTGGAAAGTGAAACAGTATTTGCTGTGTGAGCAAGGAGACAGCAAGAAGTCTGGGCGTGGCTTAGCTCAACTGTTCTGTACTAAAGGTGGTTGTTGCTGTGAAACTAAAACTGAAACTCCTCTTCTTTGCTTGTGTTTTGCATTTGGAATAGATTTCTTTTCAGATGGGGACGGGGAGTAGAATTTCTTAGCATCAGAGCGTGTTAATAATAATATACGAAATACTAATGCTCTGAAATTTATTTTGAAAATTCCTATCTTAGTGAACACCTAGAAGCCAAGAGGAACTTATGTGCCAAATTTCAAGTTTGTAGGCTTTACAGTTCTGGAGATTTTGTGATGATGTGTGAGTGGAATTTCACTTTTTTATATATAGATTTTATAGACTTTTTTTAAAAGTGCACCCACTGCATGTGTATGACATAGGAGTTGCAGTTATGTGTCCTTTCTTTGATCATGTAATTGACTTAAAGTGAATTGATCTGATTATTATTAGGTCATAGAGTACAAGCGGTATAACAAATTTGTTTTAAAAAAAGAACTTTGTGAACATATAGCACAAGCTGCAATTGTTTAGTTATAGCACAAACTTCAATTATTACCATTTTGTGGTAAGCATAAATGGACAGAAAAAAAGAGGGTCTGGACCAGAGGAATTAGATGTGATTTTTTTTGGTTGCTTTGATTTCAAAAGTATAATCATGAACCCCTTTCACGAAGGAGCAGTGGAGATAACAGTGTGGCTTGTTTGTGGCAGGTGCTATGTTCAAAGAAGAAGTTTAACACTGACTAACCCTTCTATTCAGATTTGATGATGCATGGATGAAGTGAGCAAACCTCCCAAGCCATGGCTCAGAATGTTGGGAAAACCTGGTTAAAGAAACTACTTGGCTATAAAGTGTTATAAAGATCTGAAGGCTTTCGAGACATGGACATAGCATGGACTGTGGGAAATGGGAAAAGCTTCCATTCTAAAGTAACATTCTCCATACTTATTTCACTTCGCAGTCAAGCTAACAAGACCTTTATAATTTGTGATAAATTATAATTTAACAAGATTCCTTGGTTTGTAATAAATGCAACAAACGTGGAAATGAATATAAAAATGTTTCTTGGCATCCATCTGAATAAAGCACCTTAACACAATGGCAGAGTGAAGCATGCAAGCATTTCAGTAAAACGTCTTTCTCTTTTTTTCAGAATAGATGTGTTCAATGAAGAGTGAATACAACAGAGAACGGATTTACAACAACCATTTCCCACTTCCTTCTTCACCAAGGAGCAGGAGAATCTTTGTTGCTTCTTAAAGGATGAATTGAAACCTCAGACCCAAGAGATGGAAGCTGATGCTCCTTGTTGTAGTTATGAACAGAAAGCGTGATTCATGCATGGGCCTCTTTTGATGTACATTTTCATAACAAAGTGGAAACTTATAGTTAATTGTCTCTGGGAGATAATTTCATTGTTTCCAACAATGAAAAGCATAATTTCTGTATAAGAAAACTTTGTGTGTCTGTGTTTCTGTGTGAGTGAGCATGAGTGTGTGTGCGCACGTGTGTGGATGTGTGTACTGTATGAAAGGTGAGAAAAGTACATGTCCACTTTGTGGCTTGTATTTATAAGATACTACACTGATGGATATAGATGGATATAACCATGTGGGACAAGTTAATGCTCAGAAACAATTCTCTCCAACATTCTGGTCTAAACTGCTCAGTTAATGTTTACAGTGGAATAGATAGGGTCTTCTCTAAATATAGGTAGCTGCCTTTCAGTTAGGCAGATTATCTGTCTGTCTATCTATCTATCTATCTATCTGTCTGTCTGTCTGTCTGTCTGTCTGCCTGCCTGCCTGCCTGCCTGCCTGCCTGCCTGTCTGTCTATCGGTATCTATCTATCGGTATCTATCGGTATCTATCGGTATATCTATCTATCTATCTATCTATCTATCTATCTATCTATCTATCTATCTATCTATCATCTGTCTGTCTGTCTGTCTGTCTGTCTGTCTGTCTGTCTGTCTGTCTGTCTATCGGTATCTATCTATCGGTATCTATCTATCTATCTATCTATCTATCTATCTATCTATCTATCTAT